TTTCTGTGAGTTCATCATTGGTGTATAAGAATGCCATCGATTTTTTTACATTAATTTTATATCATGCTACTTTGCCAAATTCATTTATTAAGTCTAGTATATTTTTGATGGAGTCTTTAGTGTTTTTTTAATATATGTATTGATACATGATATAATACATGATATTATGACATATATAATATCATGTCATCTGCAAATAATGACAGTTTCACTTCCTCCTTTCCAATTTGGATACCTTTTATTTTTTTCTTCATGTCTAATTGCTGTGGCTAAGACTTCCAGTATTATGTTAAATAAGAGTGGCGAAAGTGGGCATCCCTGTCTCGTTCCTGTTCTTAAGGGAAATGCGTTTCGTTTTTTCCCATTGATTATGATCTTGGCTGTAGGTCGTTCATATATTACCTTTATTATGTCGAGATATGATCTCTCTATTCCCACATTACTGAGCATTTTTATCAGAAATGGGTGCTGGATTTCGTCAAATGCATTTTCAGCATCTATTGACAGGATCATGTGGTTTTTATTCTTCATTTTATGTGGTGTATCACATTTATTGATTTGTGAATATTGTACCAGCTGCATCCCTGGGATGAATCTCACTTGGTCATGGTAAATAATTTTTTTTTTTATTCTCACCCGAGGATATTTTTCCATTTTTTGTACAGATAGAGTGGGAGGGAGAGAGAGGAAGGGAGAGAGAGAGAAACATCGACGTGAAGGGACACATCGAGTGGCTGCCACCCGCACGACCAACCAGGGCCGGGGACAAACTGCAACCGAAGTACGTTCCCTTAGCGGGAACCAAACCCGGGTCTCTCTGGACCGCAGGCCAATGCTCTAACCGCTGAGCCAAACTGGCCAGGGCAATAATTTTTTTGATGTATTGCTGGATCCAATTTTCTAGTATTTTCTTCAGGATTTTGGCATCTATATTTATCAAGGATATTGGCCTGTAGTTTTCTCTCTTTGTAGTGTCTATTTCTGGTTTTGTAATTAGAAGTATGCTGGCCTCATAAAATGAGTTTGTAAGTCTTCCTTCTTCTTGAATTTTTTGAAATAGTTTGAGGAGAATGGGTGTTAGTTCTTCTTTGAATGTTCGGTAAAACTGCCCCGTGAAGCTGTCCGGGCCTGGGCTTTTGTTTGCTGGGAGAGTCTTGATTACCTCTTCAATTTCCTTAGTTGTTATTGATCTATTCACATTTTCTATCTCTTTCCCAGTCCAGTTTTGGGAGACTATGTGTTTCTAGAAATTTGTCCATCTCTCTTATATTGTCGAATTTGTTGCCATATTATTTTTAGTATTTGTTAACAATCCTTCGTATTTCTGTGGTGTCACTTGTTACTTCTCCTCTTTCATTTCTGATTTTGTGTATAAGGGGTCTCTCTCTTTGTTTCTTGGTGAGTCTAGCTAAGGGTCCATCAATCTTGTTTATCTTTTCAAAAAACCAGCATAGAGCTGACTTTTTAACAAATCATAAAAGGAGAGGTTCTCCTTTGCCTTCAGGATGCGGGGCACATTTCTGAACAGTCTGATCTCAACTTTTCTAGCCTTTTTCACTTCTACTTCTTGATATGTGCTTTTCACCTTCCCTAAACTGCTGACCATACCTGTGTGCCAAGCTCCTTATTTTGTTGCTTTGGCTCATATTCTTCACTCTGAATTGAACTAGTCAGGGTTCTCCATAGAAACAGAACTGATAAGATATATGAAGATATATTGAAGGAGAATTATTGGAGGGATTGGCACATCTGATTATAGAGGCAATGGCCCTTGTACTGCCACTTGCAAACTGAGCTGAAGGCCCAAGAATGCTGGTGATGCAGTTCCAAACCAAAAAGCCTGAGAAACAGGGAATCCAAAGAAATAAATCCCAGTCCAAGTCCAAATGCCCAAGAACCAGGAGTGCCAGTGTTGGAGGGCAGCAGAAGATGGCTTTTCTAGCTCCAACAGAGCAGATTTGCCTTTCTTCTGCCTTTTTGTTCTATTTAGGCCCTCAACCATTTGTATAATGCTCCCCCACATGATTAGGGCTATCTTTACTCAGTTTACCAATTCATATCCTAGTATGCGCCACAAACATTCTCACTGAAATACTATTTTATGAGATGTCTGGGCTACCCTTAGCCCAGTCAAGTTGATACATAAAATTAACTATCACTGGTTAGTAGGCTAGTGTTGAGAACTGATCATGTTGAGAACTAAAACCCCAAAATGAAGGATTTTGTCTATCAAGTTAGGCCTTTAATTCATAGTGCTAATGATGGTGGTGGTGGTCGTACTACTCAGTAGTAGTTAGCAGTGAAAGTAGTAACAGAAGTAGTTATAGAAGTAGTTGTAATAATGAAGATTATTGTAGTGATAGGAGAAAATATTTACTGATTGCTTACTATGTACTGGACACTCTTATTTATCTGAATTACTTTACTCAATCTTTCCAGTAACCCTAGGAGAAAGGAACTATTATTATCCTCACTTTAGGATAAGGAAACTGAAACACAGAGAAAGTATATAGCTTATTACGTAACGTATTCAAATTCACAGAGCTTATCAGTGGTAGGGATGGATTTCTAATGAGTAGTAGTAATCACAATTGATGAACAAGTCATATTAAATCTATATTTAAATTATGGACTCCCAGGTAATCTCTTGGTGTCCTACCACCAGCTCCGCCTTGCACCATGGTTATCAAGGATCCTCGAATCAAGATTAGGTAGGTAGCCCTGGCCAGTTTGGCTCAGCAGTTGAGCATTGACCTGCGGACCAGAGAGTCCCGGGTTCAGTTCCCACTAGGGGCACGTACCACAAAAAAAAAGAAAACATTAGGTAGGTATATAGTGGGCTTACAACATTCTACCTTAACAGGTTTTTCTAATATATTTATTTTCGGTAGCAAAACCAAACAAGATCTTTAGCTTTGTCCATTTCTCTTGCAAGGGAAGAGCCTTTCTACAATTGGACACATTTTTGGTTTTTCCTCATTGAGAATTTTAACCCTCTTTTGTATTATTGCTACAATATTCTGTAAACATATTTATTTTTAGTTGCTATTTTTAAACTTTTCAGATCAGTTTATTTTTATACTGCCTTTATTTTTCAAAGATTCTCACATTTAAAAAAATTAATGATCTATATGTAGACCTACTTTTAAAGAACGGTCGGAATTCAGCTGGATATATAATTCTAGAACTTATTTATTAGCTATTATCAAATAGAAAATAAAAGAGATGGAAGTGGAAAGGAATTTCAGTGAATGCATGTAGACTAAGAAGAATTAAATAATTATTATTTTAGGGTTATAGTGAGCATTAAATGAGAACCATAGAATGTTAGTACATTTTAAATGGAAAATAAATGCCAATGATTATTTTAACAGTGACTTGACTTAGTTAAAAACACCAGTAACTCTTGTCTTTGTTTCCATGATCTATAGAGAAACACACACACATGCACACACTACTTAGTACTTTATATTTTTTAAAGGCAGAACTGAAATTTTGATATCTCAGTAACACTGTTCACTATTCTGTGATCTATGCCATATTTGCATTTAATGAGGAGCACTATGCCTTGACTTTTTCTAATGAATACAATGACTTTTATGAAAAGAAAATGGCTAGGAAGGTTAGAGTAAGGTTATAAGCAAATGTTCTCACAAGGTTGCTGAAATAGAAAAGTAAAGGAAATAGCTCTTTTCCTGGACACTTTATCTAATAGAAAGAGTCTTTTTATTTTGGAGAGGTTTGGCAGATATTTCTCTATCATTTTGAAGGGGAAACTTTAAATTGGCTTTATCTCCAAAGACATGAGAGATTCCTGTTGTGCTTTTTTGTTTATTTATTATGGCACCCTTTTAGGACACACTGGGTTATTTCAGTATGTCTTGAAATATTACACTTGGTTTTATGTGAAACACTATTGTTTTTCTTTGTAGGTTTCCAAGTTTGGAAAGACTAGAGTATTAATAATGAAGTCATCTCCTTGAAGTAGTTCCTTCTGTACTTCATATGCTAGGATGGATTTTATTTTATACCTATTCAGAGAATTTCTATTTAGTTTGTTGTTAGTAATTACCCCCTAGTCACTTTCTTTATATCTATTTTCTAGATAATAGTTCCCTAGTTTATACCTGTAGTGTATATTATTCTTCTGTAAGTATATTATGTTGTACTTCTTTACATTAAATCTCATCTTAGGCCTGTCCTTCCAAATCCCCAAGTTGTCCATATTCATCCATGTACTTGATTGATCTTCTCTTCTTTTTTGTTTCATCCATACTAGGTTTGTATCATCTGCAAACTTGATCATATTGGAATTTACATTCTCCTCCAGGTCATTAATGAGAATGCTGGATAGACTAGTCCTCTTCCCTGTGGGACGCTGCTGGGTATACTACTGGGTGTTCTCAGTTGTAACTCTGTTGATAATAATTCATTGCTTCCTTCCCATCATAGATTTTTTTATCCGCTGTACTATATATACTGTTATCTAGGCAATGGCTCTAACATCTCTGCTTCCTGGTGCTCCTCTTTTTTGTCAATCATCTTTTTCTAAGATACAGATAAAAATCACTGTGTTCCCTTATCTACTTAAGCCATTGCGGTTTTTTTTGTTTTGTTTTTTTTTTAAAGATAATCTAGGAAAATGTTGTCCTTAAATAGGACAATTTCTCAGAATATTTCCATCAAACATCAGTGAGTCTTTATTAGTACGTTAAGTGAGAAAATATTTTAGTAATGCTCCCTAGTCTTTTCCTTTTTCATGGAAAATGGTCTCTAGTTATTTGGATTTTAAGTAAAAAGAATAATTACTTTCTACCCAGATGAGAGAATGACTTAAATACATGTATTGTTTTTTCTGAATGTGGATTGCATTTTCAGTAAATCGTTCTACTTCCAGCGGTTTCCTAGGTGAGACACAGTTCATTTATAATTTTCCAAGCATGATACAGTGTCACATGTTTGTTTATTTTTGATGTTATATTTTTTTTCTTTATTTTCAGGAAAAAGAAGAAGTGGAAGGGATATCAGTAGGTGCTATACTTTCTGACTATCAGCGTGTTCGAGTAGAAAATGTGTAAGAGAACATTATTTGTTCTGTATTTAAATACATATGTATTTTAAGAATGTGAATAAATAAAAAATATAATTGTATCCAAAGAATGATATGATATTCTGCCTGCCCCATGGAACTATATATTTAACTAAGTAACAAAAGTTGTACTTTTGTTGTTGTTCTATTTTTATATCACACATGGAGAAAATGTAAACTTCCTTAGCATAAGGAAAATACATTATTTGTAATAAAAAATTGAGGCAAAGACTTTTAAAGTATAAAGTATTACTTTCAGTTTTTCTTATTTGAACTACTACACCCTTTTAATTTCTTTTACTCCTCATCATTTGTAATAAAAAATTAGGAGCTTATAAAAGGAATGCAATAATATCTTAAAGAAAAACAAAAGCTAATTAAGGAATCTCCCCTTCTTTGGTTCATAGGATTCAGTTCTTGGCCAAAAATATTCATGATTGAAATACTTATAGTTATTCATCTTTCAAGGAGGTTGTAGGTTGTTGCTCCCCCACTCTTTTCCTTCCCCCTCCAGGAGATGTAGTGCTAGGAGCATTGTCTGTACCTACAAACACCAAAACAGTTCATTTCATTAATCTTTTTAAAAAAATAAGGTCAAATGATAATGATTATTTAATGTTTATTTGGCAAAATAACGTGAATGAATTTTTTTTTATTTTTTATTTATTTAGATAAATAAAATATTGTATAGAGGCTTTATAAATAATTATATTAGCAATAATAAAAGTGTGGACTCCAGTATTAATCTTAAGCAAAACTTAGCCTCTAACTAAATAATTCTGCCATTCAAGAGGGTAAATAGAAATAAGATAAGGGCTGTATTTATGTAATAGTTTTCTTATTCTCGATAAAGAAACCTTCATATTGACTATCTCATTAAAAACTTGCATATTACCCTGGCCAGGGGGCTCAGTTGGTTGGAGCGTTGACCCATCCCACACACCAAAAAGGTTGCGGGTTCAATTCCTAGTCAGGTCACATACCTAGGTTATGAACTTCATCCAGGTCAGGGTGAGTACAAGAGGTAACTGATTGATGTTTCTCTCTCATACCACTGTTTCTCTCTCCCTTTCTCTCTCTCTCTCTCTCTAAAAAATTAATGAAAACTTATACTCTGGTGAGGATAAAAAAAGAAACATATATTAATGGACTTGAACACTTGAATTTTTATTTTTATCTTACTTGTTTTCTCCAATTCCACAGTAAATGTAAGGCTTTTAAAAATACAGAATTTAGCCCTGGCTGGTTTGGTTCAGAGGTTAGAGCATCTGCCTCAGACCAAAGTGTTGTGAGTTCATTTCTGGTTATGTGGGAGGCAACCAATTGATGTGTCTCTCTTACACCATTGTTTCTCGCTCTCCTTCCCTCCCTTCTACTCTGTCTAAAAATCAATAAAAAAAAATACTCAGGTGAGGAATAACCCTCCCACCCCCAATACAGAATTTTAAAAGTAAATGACAGGAATGCAAGGCAAAACATAATTATGTGAAGGGGATTATGACTCATGTTTGGGGATATATTGGAGTCTCTGGAGAGTGGAGGTGGAAATGGGAGAGCTGATACACGTATTTTGAACAAGTTTTCCTTACATTCTGATTGCCTGTATTTAAGAACAACTAAACTATAGATGGAGCTGGATTGCATATCCCTTAAGCCATACATTAGAAATAATATTATTCTCCTTAGTTTTTAGGTCATCTTCTCTGAGAATTTAGTTTACAAATCTTTGTTTTTGAATACATTCAAACCCACATGGTTTAAGGGGTAGCCAAAGTATAGAGAGGGCTGCTATCTATTGATGAAAGTTAAAAAGATAAATGAAAATGTGCTATTAATTAGTAGGCTGTTTGGAAGGAAGGCCCATAGCGTACTAATGGATAGATTTTTCTCAAAATGCAGTCTCAGGAACACTTCAACACATGGTTAAAATGCCCAGATTTTATACCATAAAACAAATCTGCAATAATTTTATTCTTCAAAATTTTAAAGACTTTTATTGGGCATCCATTGGTCTACAAACTAAGTTTGATTTAAGTCTACAAATAGTCAACAGATTGTGGATATTAAAGCAGCAGTCAGGAATTTTATAATAAGGACAGAAAGGAATACAATTTTTTTTTTTTTTCAATTGAAAAAGTCTCAGCTAAAAATGGTAGAGGGACTGGTTTGATCAGTGGTCATTGAACATTGGTGAGGACAGCAAGAACTGTAATACTTGTGTAGCATCATTAGTTTCAGTTTCCTCCTTGTATTAACTGCCTCAACATTGCTCTGTATGCTCTGGGACATTGTACAAAGGAAAAATATATCCACAAGTCTCTGCTGTAAGGTTTTCATTTCTTTGAAAGTCAGAGTATATGTACATGAAAACATAGTAATATTTTTAGGGCCATGGATGAGTAAATGACCCAACATGTGGTACATTTACTAAGTTTGGGATTTTCTGAGAGAAAGAGATCAGTGTGGGCTGGAGTAGTCAACCAGGCAGCCTTACAGACATTAGGGATGATGGGGTTTAGAGCCATATTTCTTGTTTGAAATCTGATCTCAGCCACTTACTGTGTGACATGGGCAAGTCACTTGGCTCTGACTACCACTTAGCAAACACCTATCTTATCCAGGCATGGTACTACATTCATTTTATTACTTTTAATCAATTTTAGTCCTCCTTGAGAAAGTGACAGTTATACAGATGCATGAAGCAAGTGAAGAAGGTAGGGCACGTGGCTAGTATTAGGCAAAAATGAGCAGGATAGGGGTGGCGGGAGTGAGGGTGAGTAGTAGGAGATAAGGGGTGAGCGCTAACGAGGCTGAGGTCCATGTAGGTCTGTTGTAAGTACTCCCACTGGGAGTGATGAAGAGGGTTTTGAGCAGAGGAATCCCATGATCCATTTTATGTTTTAAAAGGATCACACTGGCTGCTGTGTGGAAAACTGATTTTAAAAGGGCAAGGATAGAAGCAGGGAATGAGGTTCGGAGAGACTGACATTGAGAGGTAATGGTGCCGCCAACCAGGTGTTAGTAGTGTTATTGGTGAGAAGTGATCATATTCTGCCTTGTGGTAGATTGAATGAGGAATGTGAAGAAAAGAGGAGTAAAGGATAACCACACTTTCTAATCTCTTAATCTTATCAAGAATTGTAAAAGAAAACATCTTTGTCCCTATTTATGAACTAGGAAACTAAATACCTCAAGCTTAGTTTTGACTTGCGGAAGTCACAGCTAGTGAGTGCGGAAGTAGATTTCAAACTCAGCTTTGTCCTGACTCTACAACCCAGTTCTCTCTACTGCACCATCACATGAAATACGTAGTAGTACAGTGTGTCTCTATATTGTGTCTTTTGTTCTTTTTTCCCCACTCAGTCAAATTCTATTTAAAAATTTCAGGTAATAGATAAGAATAGTTTGTGTAACCATAGGTATTGTAAATTTAATCAACATAATTATTTTATTAGACTAAATTTATTTGCCTATTTTCATATGCTTCACAATTTTGATATCCAAGGAAGTTCTAAAAACAAGAATAATTATCCATTGGTATTTGGAAGTTTTTGCATAGATTTCTGAACTTAGAGAGTGTTACTAAAATTAATACTTCTAATCTGCCTGGAGATTTTATTTTTATCTGTTTAAATTATATATATAAACTTCATAATACAAAACATGTTTTGAAAATTTGCATTTTAAATGCTAAAATCCTTGAGAGACATGTTATGTTTAAAATCAAAGTAATTGCTGTGGAGCCAAATATAGTACATTAAGATATCATCAGATAACATCTGTTTTTGTTCTTTTTATTTTATAGGTGTAAAAGGCTTAATCTTCAGCCGTTAGCTTACCTTTGGCAGAGAAACCAAGAAGATTTGCTCCGAGAGATGATATCATCTAACATTCAGGCGATCATCATCAAAGTAGCAGCTTTGGGTATGTAGCCAGACTTTTAAGGGAGCTGTCTGTTATCACACAGATAATGAGTTCACTAATAAGCAGTTACAACAACAAAGGAAGAATGATTTAGAATATAAAAATATGGAGTCACAAGAAATTGAGTAAGGGGAAATTTTTAAAATGAGCTTTTGACCACTTACCAAAGTAATTGATAATGAGCCTCATCATTTTATTTTTTTTTTATTTTTTATTTTTATTATTTTTTTTTATCCTCACCCGAGGACATTTTTCCATTTTTTGTACAGATAGAGTGGGAGGGAGAGAGAGGAAGAGAGAGAGAGAAACATCGACGTGAAAGGGACACATCGAGTGGCTGCCACCCGCACAACCAACCAGGGCCGGGGACAAACTGCAACCGAGGTACATGCCCTTAGCGGGAACTGAACCCGGGTCTCTCCGGACCGCAGGCTGATGCTCTAACCGCTGAGCCAAACCGGCCAGGGCATCATTTTATTTTTAAATGTTTAACTGCCTTTAAAACTGGTATTGTATTATGGTCCTTTAAGTTCTTTTTATAGAATTTGGAATTCAGGTTCATAGGAAACAGGAAATACAGGTTACATTTCTAATCTTTTTAAAAACTGTATTAGGCACAACACATACTATTTCCCTTGTATTTTTTAAACATATTTTGAATAATGCTAAAATAGAATGATTGGCTTTGTTCGTGGTACCAGAAATAAACAGAGTAGTGGGTTTTTGTTGGGGATGGTGAGAAAATCACATTTGAAGGAATGTCATTTGATCAGTTAGCATAGACACAACATTGTAGGCAGGTGGTAATCTGATTCAAATATGGATGTTACATACTAACACATTAATTTGTTGTTTTGCATTTTTATAATTATATTCATTTTCAAGAAACCATAGGGTTTGAGCCCAATACATTTATCTCATGAACCTATTACAGGAAATGCCCTGGAGCCTCAGGGTTCTCAAAGCCTAAATCATATACCTCATTTGAGAGTGTTTACTTTTGTGATCTCTGAAATAATGAGGTCTCAAGCTGTGGAATATTTTTTAGATAAATTCACATTTTAAATAGCATTTAATTCACATTTTAGAAGAAAGGTCCCATACTATTTCTCCTTGGTAAACACTCTTCTTGTTGAAGTCTAGATGTTGCCATTAGTAGAAAGCCTTGTTTAGAGGACCTGCAGTTGATAAAAGGAAAAGAATTGAAGTGGTGTTGTATTCTTATTTTTGAGAAAAAGTTACTGAGCAACTCTTATGATTACAGTTCTCACTATAGGTATATCTGTCATAAATTTTCTATATGAATCTATATAGAGTATACTCTCTTTCTTTTGTATATTCTAAGATTGCCTAGTTCTGTAATGAATTTTATGTGACACGTCACTTGACAGTACACACACAATCCCTTTTACTACTGGAGAATGGGACGGATTAGAACCCAGAGAGAACCTGCTCATTAGAAAGACTGAGCCAAAGAATATGACCTTGCTGCTGCCACTTTTATTATAGCATGTAACTAATATTGTGTGTCCTTTTATTTGTGTGTGTGGATGTGTGTGTACTTCTATGTAGGGATCAGAGATGGTGATTAATTGTATTACACTTTAGGGTAAAGTATAAAACTGTGCTAATTTTTCCTTGGTTTCTCAATGACAGGAGTGTAGATTTGATTTTAACATTTATAGCACATAGTTTCTATTGATGACCTATAGGTATGCAAAGATGAAAGTTATGTTCGAGAACAGTATTATAGAAAGGTTTATTGAATGGCACATTTCATCACTCAGAAAATATAGTATAGGCTTCCAATCTTTTTCGCTCCTTTTAAAGTTGTTGGGTAAGTTTCCAAGAAAAATATGGCACAATAGGATCCTTCCATGGGGAGAGGGATTCAGCAAATTTTGGGCCCTTTAGATTATGGAGTGGTCTTAGAAAAGGATTGGTTCTACATGAATTATACAAATATATTTCTGATCATTGCGTTAGATAACCTTGGTGTCTGTGGGCTTAGTGAACTCGTGAAATTCTCACATAACAACTTAGTATTTTCAAAGTTTGTAGTTTTTAGACTTATTTAAAGAGCCATTTGCACATTGGGTTTAAGAAAAGTCCTGCCTTTCAGAAATATTCATTTTTAATTGCATGAGTATTACATGAAAACGCTCTTGCTATATAATATTAAATTTTCATAGATTAAGAAAAGATTACATGTGTTTGCTAGCCTCTCCTCTCCCACCTAGCACTTCATTTCCTGGGGGCACACACTAGAGTGATGACTGATCATATTTCTAGATCACATTTTTTTTGGTATGTGTATGTGTAGAAGTATTAGGATTGTTTTATATGTTTTACAATACTGCGTGAATGGTATCTATTGATTGGGAATGTACCCTTTTTTACCTAGCAATACACCTTAGAGATTTTTTCTATGTCAGTAAATACAGATCTACATCACATTTTGTTTTTAAGTAATCTTTTATGGAAGTGTGGCATAAATGCAAAAAAGTGAACAGATTCTTAGTGCATAACTAAGAATTGATGAATTTGATGATATCTGATGCATTTTCACAAAGTGAAAAGACCTGTGTAATCAACAACCAAATCTAGATGTGGAACATCGCTAAAATCCTCCCAGTCAGTATTTACCAAAAGAAACAGCTCTCTTGACACTTAAAACTGTAGCTTAGTTTTTTGTGGGTTTTTTTTCCTGTTTTTAAATTGAATATGATTGAACCATACAATATATTCCCATCATGTCTGGCTTCTTTGGCTCAACATTATGTTTATGAGATTCCTACACATTATTGAATAAAGCAATAATTTGTTGACTTCTCATTATGGTATGAAGGTCCATTGTAGGAATGTACCACAATTTAATTGTCTACTTTATCACTGATGACATGTAGCTAGTTTCTAGTTTGGTGCTATTATAGTGGTGCACCGTGTAACACAATTTGGTCAATGACGGATCACATATGCAATTGTGGACCTAAGATTGTAATGGAGCTGAAAAATTCCTGTTGCCTAGTGACATTGCAGCCATCATATTGTAGCACAAGCATTATGTGTTCATAGTGATGCTGGTGTAAACAAACCCATTGCGTTGCCAGTTTTATAAAAGTATAGCACCTGCAGTTATGTACATTCCATAATAATTGATAATGATAATAAATGACTATGCTACTGGGTTATGTATTTACTATACTATACTTCTTATAGTTATTTGAGTGTACTCTTTCTACTTACAAATGAAAAGTTTGTTTTTATCAGCAGCCCTGTACATCTCATGCTTACCATGTATCTTGATTGCATCATTTCCTCTTTTGCTTGATTTAATCTCGTGTTGTTTTATATAATAATATGCTGTACAGGCTTGTAGCCTAGGACAGTAGGCTATACCATATAGCCTAAGTGTGTATAGGCTGTACCATTTAAGTTTGTGTAAGAATACTCTACAATGTTTGCACAGTGATGAAATCACCTAATGATGCATTTCTCAGAACATATCCATCATTAAGTGGCACATGACTGTAAATTGTGCTATGAACATATGAGGTCATCTTGTACATTTTCTGCCTGAGACCTAGATTTCTAGTTTCCATTTCTTCAAGGTACCCAGATTTCTTTTAATTGGATTTTATATATATAATGCCTCATGAGCTCATGACATTTTGAAGTCAGATTCGGGCTGTGTAAGAACGGTGATAATTCTGTATTTCATCTGTGCTTCCTTTTTTTCACATTGAAAAATCTCTCAAGGACACAGAATATATTATTTATTAGAAAATCCCATAATTATTAGGAACAAAAAAAGAAAGAAAAACAAAAACAAATAGCGGGTCTACAATATATTCTTTCTAGTATCTAGTGTAAATGTCCTAAAAAGAAGGAAGAACTCATATAATTTTATAAACATCAACTACAGACCTCATGGCAAAAACACACAAACAGAACAAAGTCACTAATGATATTTACTGTCTGGGAAGAGTCCTTATCTTTGAACTGCTTTTAGTAGGAAATATCTGGTTGCTTTGATTGATTTTTGTAAACAAACCCAAAACCTTTGGATTTGGGGCATGGCTCCCTGGAATGTGTCATGTATGGTATGTAACTATCTGAATATGAATTAGAGATGTTTTGTGACTGAAATAGCTATCTTCTGTGTAAGTGATGTCAACTATATGCATTGCTTAGAGACCTTACATGTTAACCTATATCACAGCAGGTTTGGTGTATCCAGAAAACACCTGGAGGGTAACAATGATGGTTCTGCCCCCCTCCCTGCTTCACCTGGCGCTTTGATTGCCTGTGTTCTGAAATTATTAGTAAAGCTTTATACTAGGTAAGGTGTCTGGTTTGTATGAGTCTGATTTGACAACCCCCTAACTAGACTAATAAAGGAAAGAAGAAAGACTCAAATAAATAAACTCAGAAATAAAAGACAAGTTACAAATGATCCCATAGAAATACAAAGGATCTTAAAAGAATACTATGTAAGGCTATATACCACCAGACAACCCTGAAGAAATGCACAAATTCTTATACAACCTTCCTAGACTGAATCATGAAGAAACAGAAAAGCTGAGAAACCAATCACTAGTAAGTAAATAGAAGCAGTAATCAAAAGCCTCCCCCCAAAAGACAAAAGTCCAGGACCACCAGGTGGCTTCACTGGTGAATTCTACCAAACATTCAAGGAAGATTTGATAACTATCCTTCTCAGACTCATCCAAAAAACTGAAGAGAAGCAATGTTTCCTAATTCATTTAATGAGACCAACATTACCCTGATGCCAAAACTAGGTCAGGAAACCACACAAAAAGCAAATAACAGGCCAGTATCTCTGATGAACATTAATGCAGAAATCCTCAACAAAATACTAACAAATCAAATACAACAGTATGTTAAAAGGATCATACACCACTATCAAGTGGAATTCATTCCAGGGTTGCAAGGATGGTTTAACATTTACAAATCAATCAATGTGCTAGAGGACATTA